AATGAGAGAGAGCACATGAGAGGGGGGAGGGTCAGAGGGAGAAGCAGACTCCCTGCCGAGCAGGGAGCCCGATGTGGGACTCGATCCAGGGACTCCAGGATCATGACCTGAGCCGAAGGCAGTCGCTTAACCAACGGAGCCACCCAGGCGCCCAATAAGTATTATATTTTAAAGGAATGAATGAGTTTATTATAGAAAGCCATTACCCAGTCTTATACAATGCTGATAGGCAAAAACATTTGGAAGTAATTTCTCCATGTTGTGCACTTATATTGGGAAGAGACTTTATGTTTTATATAATGAATTAGAAAAATACAGACAAAAGGAAGATTCATGTTTCTTAGGGCCAAGCTGCATACTATTATTGACTATAGCAAGGAATCTGGGGCGGGGGGGGAGTAATTATTACCAGGTATTTGGCACTAAGTCTTAGAAGGATTTTGCTGGAGGAAAATAGAATAGTATTGTGTGTTATTTCATTTGAAAGAAATTTCAGTTTTGGTCATCAAGTCAGCTTTGAGAAAACATTTGGAAGACCACCAGCTCTTGTTTTGGAAGTTCAGGATAGCTTAAGAGACTCTAGGGCAGGTTAAAAAGGTTTCTAATCTAGGTTCCTAGTGTCTTCTTATCCCAGAACTCAGTTCATACGATGATGCTAGTTTAAACCCAGAAATGCTCATTCACTATTTAAACAATATTCTCTCTGTCTCCCAAAATTCAATAAATAATACTGCTAGGATTTACCTATCTGTGGTTCTTAATATTGGTTTCAATTATACCAGAAATCTAGGACTGGGCCTTGGCATTAATATGTTTAAAGTTCTCCAGGTAATTCGAAGATGCAGGTAGGGTTGAGAATCTCTGCCTGGTTAAGTCTGTTGTTCAGGGGCATTTTCCGTAGAAATGCGTTCAGTATCAGAAGCTGGGAGAAGGGAACAGACTTGTTTAAGTTAAATAGCATATAGAAATAGGTAGAGATTTTAACTTCTGAATTATATTGGTAGATGATTAGTAAACATTTGTTATTATTTTTTTAAAGATTTTATTTATTTATTTGAGAGAGAGAATGAAAGAGAGCACAAGAGCTGGGGGGGGGTGGTCAGAGGGAGAAGCAGACTCCCTGCTGAGCAGGGAGCCCAATGCGTGACTCGATTCTGGGACTCCAGGATCATGACCTGAGCCGAAGGCAGTCGCTTAACCAACTGAGCCACCCAGGCGCCCGATTAGTAAACATTTAAAAACTATAGCTGAAGCATCCTTGAGTATATCACAAAAGCCGAAGTGGTCAAGTACCATCTTTATCCTTAGAGACAGCTCAGACAACTAGAATTGAAAGGTTCAGAGAAGTTCATGGGGCTTCTGTGATAGGTCAATTTCTTAAAATCACAGAGATAGGAGGTTTGAATCCATGTTTTCCCTGCCCAGCACATACAGTGGGTAATATTTGCCCTGTAGTGTTTCAGTGACTGAGTTAGGACAGTTAGGCGTCCATGACACCTACCAGCAACTCGCCCTTTGTACTCAGTGTACCTTAGTGTTAGGTTATTCACGTTTTTGGAAATGTATATTAGACTCAGCTCCCGAGGTATTATTTCTCGTACAATTATTCTGAGGTTGAGAATTAACAAAAAGACTTAACGACAATGATAGTAATACTTGCAACCCTTACGTGTTGTTTACTCTGTGCTAAATGCCGCTCTGACTGCTGGATACCCGTTCGCTCACTTGGTATTCACAGTAGCCCTTGGACGATATTATCCTTACTGTAACACAAAAGAATGAGGCAGAGAGGAAAAATGACTTGCCTAAAGTCATACAGCCAGTAATTGACACATGGAAACTTTCCCTTGTCGCTTGACTAGCCATCACACATTTACTAGTCCTGGGGTTGCTTTCTGGAAGAGGGTGTCTGTCTTTACAGTCATAGCCACAGTTTCTCTGAGAAGCATCATCATGTATTTTTAATAGACTGGCCTTCCCTGATTAGATTATTGCTGTGGGAGGAGAGAAAGAGGGGTGGACTTAAAGAAAAGTTAAGATTTGATGAGACCAAGTAAATCAGGATAGAATGCCTGTAACATCTGTACTGAAGTGCCACTTTAGGGTTTTGCCTCAGAATAGTTGCTAGCAATTTCATTCTTTGTAGCTCAGCTGTCTTTGACAACCCAATTTTTCCATCATCCTATATCCAGTCTGCTAGGAAAGAGTGGCTGTCAACCTTCAAAATATATCCAGAGTCCAACCACTTCTCAAAACCTCTCCTGCTGCTTGTCTCAGCTAAGCCACCTAACTGATATCCCTGCTTCCACCTTTGTCTATTACAGTCTGTTCTCAAACAAACATAGCGGGTGCCTGGGTGGCTCAGATGGTTAAGCGTCTGCCTTCGGCTCAGGTCATGATCTCAGGGTCCTGGGATCGAGTCCCGCATCGGGCTCCCTGCTCCTTGGGAGCCTGCTTCTCCCTCTGCCTTTCTCCCTCTGTCTCTCACTCATGAATAAAAAAAAAAAAAAAAAATCTTTAAAAAAAACAAAACAAAACAAACATAGCAGCCATGGTGAGATCCTTTTAAAAACTTTAACATGTGACTCCTTATTTCATATTAAGTAAAAGCTTTACAATGGACTTCAGGGCCCTGTGTGATCTGCCTGCCTTCCCTACTCACCTTGCTAGCTCACTCTAGCCACACTGGCCTCCTTCAGTGCTCTTCCTTGAATACACCTGACATGCTCTCACCCCAGGGCCTTTGCTCTGTCCCTCTGCCTGGAATGTTTTTCTCTGTGTTTCCTCTTGGGTAACTCATTCAACTGCCTTCGGTCTTGGTTCATGCCTCATCTTTTCAGTGACGCCTTCTTTACGGCCCTCTTTAACATCTCTCCTATTACCCCATCAGCAGTCCTAGTATACATTCTCTGAATTACTGTTTCTTCCATTTCACCTATATGTTATAAGTATATACATATATAATAATAGCGATTTTTACCTACTAGTATGTAAATTTCAATAGAATGTTTTCGTTTTGTTTGCTGATGTAACCTAAGTGCCTTTTACCCTGAATTACACCCAGTAATTGACACATGGAAACTTTCCATTGTTGCTTGACTAGCCATCACACATTTACTAGTCTTGGGGTTGCACTCTATCTTTGTCTGAATGAATGAGTGAAGCCAGCAATTTAAGGACGTTGGAGTCAGAGTACATCATGTGTATTTATTGCATGAGAAGAACAGAAAGGAAGTAGAGAAAGACCAAGACTTGTAATAATGAAAGTAGAGTGGATATGAAACTTGGTTTTGTTTGTGTTTTAACTTGAGAGGTAGCAGGTAGGGTGAAATCCTGAAAATGAAACTTAAGAAAGGTTTTAAGGCATAACAAAAGAAAGAAAAAAACCTAAACCAAAATAAATCATGGCTAATTGTATTCTGTTTAACAATGTGATATATTGGGGCGCCTGGGTGGCTCAGTTGGTTAAGCGACTGCCTTCGGCTCAGGTCATGATCCCAGAGTCCTGGGATCGAGCCCCGCATCGGGCTCCCTGCTCAGCGGGAAGTCTGCTTCTCCTTCTCCCACTCCCCCTGCTTGTGTTCCTGCTTTTGCTATCTCTCTCTCTGTCAAATAAATAAATAAAATCTTAAAAACAAAAACAACAATAAAAAAAAAACCAATGTGATATATTTAGTCTTTTTCCTTATCTCTTAAGATGAATGGCTTTAGCTGTGGCCTTATATCCTTAAAGATCAAAATGAGGCCAAAAGCTTAATAATCCAAAAAGTAGTACATGAATATATGCAATTATGAACTTAGCCATTCCTGGTGATTTTCTTTATTAAGTGTGAAGTGTTCTAGGATATACAGCAAATGGTGTTTTAACTTTCCATAGTCAGAGAAACTAGAAGCCTAAGGGGCTCATCCTAGGTCTGGGAAGGAAAACTGGAAAAAATGCACTCACTGTTATAAGGGTGGGGAGACAAAGGAGCAATTTATAATCTAAGCTGTTATCTGTCACAGTATTAGCTTAAATTACTGCTCTTGATTTCTTTGGATATCTGCAACCTCATCTCTTTGGATTTCTTCTTGTGTCTCAGACCCAGTTACCATTTCCAGCCTGATGGACAAAACCCATACCTGTGGACTTTCATTCCAGACTAAGATTTATTAGCTGCACTGCCTGTAAGATTTTGAAGACACCCTGACCAAACATGGACTGAGGCATATTAGGCAGTATGGAGAGGTGCACTTTAAAGGTTTGTGGAGAGGGCCATTCTCCAAAGCACCAATGAAGATTCCACGACCTTTACTTATTTTCCTCTCTAGTTTAGAATCGTGGAGTCATTTGCTCCCCGTCTTCATTTTACAGATAAGGAAACTGAATCTTGGAGAGGTGCAGTCTTTTGCCCAGGTCATGCAGATCATGGACAAGGGTAGTTACTGTGTGTTAACTTTGGGCCAAGTGCTGTGCTAATTACTTGACTTGTATTACCTTTTTAAATCTTTATATCATTCTTCCTATTTTACAGGAGAAGAAATTGAGACTGAAAGGTTAAGAAATTTGCTCAAGGTTTCATAGCTGGTTAGTGTCAGAGTTGGGATTCAATCTGCTATCACTTGCTAGAGGTCCACGTCTCAACTACCCTGTGACAGCTAATTAGGGACTGACCTGGGTCTATTTTTTTTTTTTTTTTTTAAAGATTTTATTTATTTGACAGAGAGAGACACAGTGAGAGAGGGAACACAAGCAGGGGGAGTGGGAGAGGGAGAAGCAGGCTTCCCGCGGAGCAGGGAGCCCGATGCGGGGCTCGATCCCAGGACCCTGGGATCATGACCTGAGCCGAAGGCAGACGCGTAACGACTGAGCCACCCAGGTGCCCCGGGACTGACCTGGGTCTAGAAACTGACCCCCTGCCCTCACACCTGGCCCATGCCCACTTTGTTTTAAGACATTCATTCATTGTCTGTATGCTTTGAGCTAGCAATACTTTGTGATTAGGATTTTTACTTTTCTGCCTACTTTTTGAGAGGAGTGAAGATTAATTTTATAGAATGGTAGATTTTCTCACTCTTTTCTACAAAGCTGATTGTCTTTATCATCTTAAGAGATTACTTACTTTCACATTTCTGGCTGGATGAAACTAATACGAAGATTAAATTCATTCCTATCTAGGAAAGGGTAGAACCAAAAGAAAGAAAAATGACAAGATGCAAGACGTGTGAGTAGCTTTGAAATTCTGTTTTAGTCACACAGGGTCAGAGATTTAGCTCCAAGCGTGTCATATTGGGCTTACTTGAAGGAAGCAGCACTTGGTATTTTCACAAGAGTGCTACTGACGGTATCATGCCTGTCATACTTCAAAGTACGAATCCTTTCATGAGTCAACAAAAAGGCAGCCGGGGTGAGTCCATAGCAGTGATATCATGCATTCAGTATCATTTTCAGCTTGTACCTGCAAGGAGGGAGAGAGTTCACTTTCCCTGCCGCATTTTACATCAGCTTGAAACATTGAATAGTTTGTTGCTGGGAATCTTGATCAGGACACTGTTTCTTCTCTGTGCTCTGAGACTCAACATTATTCTATCCTACCTTTCCTGAAGAATGAGGCAGGGCTCAAGAAGGATAAATCCAGGACAGGCTTTTCCTGGGGGTTTACAGGATGTGCCTCTAGCTCTGTGAAGTGTGGTGGAGGGCAAAGAGCAGGAGCCTAATAATCAGGAGACCCATGTTCTAGACATGGCTCTGCCTTTACTGTAGGACCTCCATCTTGCTGAGCTTCACTTTCCTTTCTGCTTAAAGAGAATGTGCTTTTAAAAATCCTGCCTACTTCCCTGGTGTGATTCCGTCCTGCGCTGCTGTTGTGTGGAACAGTATTCGTTTATCTCCGTCCGCCTTCTCTTCCACCTAAGTGCGTGCCACCACCCCATGGAAGATTTGATGGACATGGACATGAGCCCCCTGAGGCCCCAGAACTATCTTTTCGGTTGTGAACTAAAGGCTGACAAGGATTATCACTTTAAGGTGGATAATGATGAAAATGAGCACCAGTTATCTCTAAGAACGGTCAGTTTAGGAGCTGGTGCAAAGGATGAATTGCGCATTGTTGAAGCCGAGGCAATGAATTATGAAGGCAGTCCAGTTAAAGTCACACTGGCAACTTTGAAAATGTCTGTACAGCCAACAGTTTCTCTTGGGGGCTTTGAAATAACACCACCTGTGGTCTTAACGGTTGAAATGTGGTTCAGGGCCTGTGTATATTAGTGGACGGCACTTAGTAGCTGTGGAGGAAGATGCAGAGTCAGAAGATGAAGAGGAAGAGGACGTGAAACTCCTTAGTATATCTGGAAAGCATTTTGCCCCTGGAAGTGGTAGCAAGGTTCCACAGAAAAAAGTAAAACTTGCTGCTGATGAAGATGATGATGAAGATGATGATGATGATTTTGATGATAAGGAAGCTGAAGAAAAGTCTCCAGTAAAGAAATCTATGTGAGATACTCTAGCCAAAAATGCACAAAAATCAAACCAGGAAAAGACTCAAAACCATCAACACCAAGAACAAAAGGTCAGGAATCTTTTAAAAAAGAGGAAAAGACGCCCAAAATACCGAAAGGACCTAGTTCTGTAGAAGACATTAAAGCAAAAATGCAAGCAAGTATAGAAAAAGATGGTTCTCTTCCCAAAGTGGAAGCCAAGTTCATCAGTTATGTGAAGAATTGCTTCCGGATGACTGACCAAGAGGCTATTCAAGATCTCTGGCAGTGGAGGAGGTCTTTTTAAGAAAATAGTTTAAACAGTTTGTTAAAATTTTCCGTCTTATTTCATTTCTGTAACAGTTGATATCTGGCTGTCCTTTTTATAATGCAGAGTGAGAACTTTCCCTACCGTGTCTGATAAATGTTGTTCAGGTTCCATTGCCAGGAATGTGTTGTCCAAAATGCCTGTTTAGTTTTTAAAGATAGAACTCCACCCTTTGCTTGGTTTTAAGAATGTATGGAATGTTGTGATAGGACAGAGTAGTAGTGGTGGTCAGACAAATGGAAATGGTGGGGAGACAAAAATATACATGTGAAATAAACTCAGTATTTTAATAAAGTAAAAAAAAAAAAAAATCCTGCTTAGCCTTATGCCCTGAGGTACCTAAAATGAGAATCAAAATGGGGCTAAAATGCTTCCAGAGAGTACTTGATGAATGTATGTTATTATGAACATGGTACTCATGTTGATTTTCTTGCATTAAATATTAAGTGTGTTGCAAGATCTACAACAAACTGCGTTTCAACTTTCCATAACCAGAGAAGCTAGAAGCCTGAGGGGCTCATCCTAACAAAGACATCACTGCAGTCCATGTTCTTAAGTTGGTGCCAGAAGGATAACTGGAATTTTAGAACTGGGTAGGATGAGATTATACAGAGCTGTATGACCTTTGAATGGGAAGCTTGCTGGCAGTAGAACTTGGTATAGGTATACTACTCTTTCTAACATTTATTGGTCTTCTGGGTTGCATCTCTCCAGAGTCACACTGTGATGCATGTGGTGAGCAGTGGTACCCCTGGAAATAATAGAGCCCACCCAGGCGGTCCGCTGTGTCATAGGAAAGACGTTCCTAGGAATGTTAATATGGACCCTTGGATGGAGGCTGAAGCCGGGTTTTTTTTTTTAATCAGAGAAGGTTTTAAGGCATATATATGCATAAATTTATTATATTAAAATACTCCTTTAAGTAAAGGGGAATTGATGGGCTGAAAAATGAGCTCAAGCAGCCCAAAACAAGTTATTGGGGGCTGTTTGTGGCCATTTCTTTCCAGAAAGTCTAGCTAGAGCCACAATTGCAGAGACCGAAGAAGATATCTAACTCACTTTTCCTTTCCTTTCCTCTGCCATTTACTTTGTACCTGTTTCCTATGGCTGTCTTCCTTTACTTCTTCTAGGGGCTCTTTTTGCTGTCTGCCTCTTGGAGGGAAGGGGTGTTTCAAAGCTCCAACTGAGTGTCGTCATCTGACAACATGCAAATTGACATACCTCAAGTCAGCAAGATTTTACCTGGAAAGTTGGTGAATCTGAGACAAGAGAGCATCTCAGGGGTTGTTGGTTAGCTACAAACTGCTTGCTACACTCTGGACATCTCTGTTGCTTTTAAATACATGATTCGAAACTTTGAAATCTTTTTTTCTTCACCTTTGTCAGAATATTGACATTTTATACATTAATTTTGACTTTGTAAAGAAACTTTTATTTTATTTTATTTTTTATTTTTTTTTAAAGATTTTATTTATTTATTTGAGAGAGAGAGTGAGAGAGAGAGCACAAGAGGGGGGAGCAGGAGAGGGAGAAGCAGACTCCCCGCTGAGCAGGTAGCCCGATGCGGGGACTTGATCCCGGGACTCCAGGACCATGACCTGAGCCGAAGGCAGTCGCCCAACCAACTGAGCCACCCAGGCGCCCAGAAACTTTTAATTTTAATTTGTTTTTTAGTATGGCTGAAAAATTGAACTGAAAGGCAGTTCTAAAAAAGGAGTTCTAAAATGTTTGAGTGCTGGTAACATTTCTGGGCTAAGTGTCTTGTTTCCCATGGTTATAGGACTTCGATAAAAAATTATTGTAACCTGGTTTTGTTACTCTGTAGCCACATTACCTAGTACATGTAATTTTAATTCCTGGGTCATTATTTCCTGATCTTCACACCCTACTTGGGATGTATAGTGGGGCTTCATTGGGTATGATAGTTGTGAGTGCCATGCTCAGCGGAGATGCACTAGCATCTGTAGAACTGTCAGCTGGCTTTTGGCACTGAGAAAAGTACAGCTGGAGTACACCAAAGATAATTGTTAGCAACTGCAGTTGCATCCTTGACAGTTTCTTTGTGAGCCTTGTAGAAATCTTAGTTGGACGGTGAAATGTAAGTCATTTCTATTTTGGACACCTCTGATTATAGACCTTCTGGCTTTAAGGAGGAAGAATAGGAAGTACCCTCTGTGGAGGTTCATATGTAATATAGCTGAGTGTTGCAAAACCATGAATGTAGTGTTTAAAGCATTTTATAAGCAAATTCTTTCCCGTTGATGGTTGCTTCTGTTCTTGGTAGGCAAAAAGGGAGAAAAGTTATTAAATGTATTTTGATTATATTTGGTAAACTCCTTGTCTTATTGCAAATTTACCATTAATCAGAGGAATTAGGGAATGGATGGATGGGTTAAGACATCTGTTCTTTGCCTTTCAAGAAAAGATTTCACTCTAAATTTAGTATTCTGTCCATTAATGAATCTGTATTCTTTTAGGATATTAATTCATTATAGCTGTTCCATTAAGTGTAATCATAATTATCCTTTAAACTATCTCTGGTTTTTAGGTATGGATCCAGACTTTGTATAGTTGCTTAGAAGTCCAGGTTTTAGGGCTTTTCTTTTTTTTTAGGGTTTTTTTTAGGGGTTTTTAGGGCTTCTGTGTACCTAAAA